ATCATGTATCACTGCCATCCCTGTAGCTCAGGAAAATGATGTGAAGGCATACTTGAAGGCCAATATCACATTTAAAGATGGGGCAATTGATTACAAGATTACCCCTTTGCTTTGGTGGAAGCAGCGGTGGGCCGCTACGCTACGCTATGCCTTTGGCCCAAAAAGCGTAGCGTAGCGGCGCTTTTTTCATCAAAAAAGTGTAGTGTTAACGTTTTTTTAGCAGTTTTTTGCTGCGCTACAGCTCTTCTAGCGGAAAAAGCGGCCAAAAACCGCTAAAAAGTGCTGTAGCACAGTGTAGTGGGCCCTTTTTTGTGGCCCACATGCGTAGCATTAGTGGTGTCGTGGCAGAATTCCACTACGCTATTCTTAGCACTAACAGCAATTCTGCTGTGTTATGCTACACTAACCACTACAGTTAGTGTAGCGGCCCACCTTTGGTGGAAGGTATGCTCATTCCAAACTGGAATTCTGCTTCAACAAAACATTTGCACTTGCTGACACCAGAAATTGATTGATAGGCAAACTGCAAGACTTACCCAACCCTCACAGTAATAGGTCAGGCTCATCTAGGAACACCAAGCTCTTGTTTGGTTTAGAGACTCTTCTTACTACTTAGTGGTATGGTAGTCAAAAATGGGCACCGGGGGTGACCTTTCATGAAGGTTTACCACTTTGTGGTGTCACACATGCCTGAACTCAGGTGGTAATGTATATCTGGAAACCGGGTGGCAAATCCAACTTTTACCACCCGCGGTGGAGATGCTCTCACTCTTCATTCTATGCATCAAGTATGAGAACTTGGATTGACTCCAATTGACTGCATTAACGTTAGGTTGCGGCTTTAGGCGCGTATTCCACAAGCACCTGATAACATCTCAGAATTCATGATTGCAGGGACTGCTCATGTTGCACATTGCCACAAGTGCAATCTTGGTATTTACTATACATGTTGCATTGAGTGCTGGACAGTTAGCTGCTAGATTACAGCCATTCCAAGACATCTTGCGCTCTCGCAAGCCCAACTTTTTTTAATTTTTTTTTTTTAAATTGGAGGACTTCTTGTTGCCATTTAGAGTGCTTTTTAAGCCCTCCCCAGTCCTAAATTAACACCTCAATCATTATTCTAATCAGCTCACATGAGAGCTATGTTCACAAGGTTTGTGAAAAAAAAAAAAAACAATTTTTTGTACCAAAAATTAAGACCTAGGGGGTGTAAATTAAATTCTGGGAGGGTTGTAAACCGCGACGGGAAGTCATCCATTTGGACAAATGCTGTACTTAGGTCTATGTCAAACCTTCCCACGTGGCGGGGTCCAAAGCAAGGCCACGTCTCCGCGGGACGCTCTCAGTAGGGAGGTATTCTGGAAATCAAACACTCTTAGTGATTGAGTCATTCTATAGGCAACGGGAATGGAGGGCTCCAATGAGCCACCATAAGCATTGCAAGGAGTCATATAAGCACATCCAATGAGTTAACTATGTACAGTTTGTGCTTGAAGGAACAGGAGTGGAGGGCTTTTAGGTTGTAACACAAACAAGAAGAATTGAAGACGCGAGCGGGTCTTCGGACGGTTTGCAAAGAAGGAAGAGGAACGAAGGACTTGTGAGCATGATCAATAAAGGAATGATGGGCTCAAGCATGGCAAAGCTCTCTAAGACTCCAACGATTTGGCTATCTACAATTTGACTATCTACAGTTCGGCCAGGTACGGCATGAACGGTGCTGGT